AAATTTGTTTACAATTATTAGCACTATTTGGTCCACTAAATAGGAGGAAATAGATTCTTGGCAACTCTGGAGCTTTGCAGAAATTTCTTTTTTCTAACGCAAAGCGAGAAGCACATTTGTTCTTTACGATAATTACAATTTTAAAAGAAATTTTTTGGTATGGAAGACATAAATACTAGCTTGGATAAGATGTTGGCTAAATTTAATGACAGTATTACACACTCTGCTCCCAAAAAATTAAACTTCGAGTCATTACATGAATCTTTCAGTGACTCCAGGATGGGTAAGCGTGTCTTTTATAGAAAAGAAAAAATAACGCGAAATATTTCAATAGTGTCCAAAAAACGGCGATTGTCGGAGAGCTATGAGGAAAATGGGAATGTCGACCCCAGCCACAGCAATAATTCGTCCTTAAATTCAAGTACGGCCCCGCCACCAAGTCCCTGGGAAACACGTCGTATGAAAGTCGACCTAATTGAAGCGCGAACAAGGGTATATTTCGTTATTAACCCAACCTGAGATTCCAATATTTTTTTTTTGGTTTATTTTTACAGATTGCCAAGTTACGTCAAGAAATTGATCGTTTGCACAAATTAAAGCAAGAATCTGAAACTCTATTAGAAAACCGTGTTACCGAATTGAAAAAGCAGTGCGATTTTTCTACTAGCAAAGTGCAGGACTTGGAGAAGCATTTACAGGTGATACGTAAACGTGAAAATGTAGCCAAACAGGAGCTTATCAAATCACATAGTGAAGCACAGCAACAGAAGAACAATTTTGAAGACACTATTTTAAAATTGCAAAAAGCTAAGCACGAATTAGAAGATGACGCCAGGCTAATGCAAAATAGCATGTCTAATGAATTGAGCGAATTTAGACGGCATGTGGAGAAAATAGAATTGGTGAAAAATTTTTATTATAAATTTCTTTCTAATCTGTCATTAATCTTTTACTATCGTAGGAGTTAGAATTAAGTGCGGATGAATTAGAGACAGTTAAACATCAACTATCCGATTATAAATCCAAAGCTTCTGCTTTTGACGATCTGAAATTGCGTTATGAGCAAACCTGTCAAGAACTTGAACTCTCTAATTCACGGGTCAAAGAATTGGAATTTGACATTGCTTCTTACAGTGATTGGAAAGAGATTACTAAGAATTCTCAGGCGCGCTTGCTCAGCATACCGGACATGGACAAAGAATTGGAACGACTGCGTTCTAATAACAAACACCTTCAAGATTTATTGGGCAATAAACTGCTATTAGAAGAGCAAGTTTATGATTTAAGACAACGATTGGAAAAAGAAGAAGGCGCTCGTTCTGAAATTGCTGCCTTGGAAGTACAATTAAAGCACTCACAGCATGAACTTAAAGAGTGGATCAAAATTGCTCAAGATCATTGTGCCCCAAATACTCTGGTTTCCCCTATAGCTTTGCGAGCTCGCGTCGAGGATCTATTGCAAAACGATGTCATTATGATTTCTGAAAAAAATTCGAAGCTCACGGAAACAAAATCAATAGAATCCGAATTATTAAATTTCAAGCAAAAATGCGACATTTACGCCAAAAATGTGGATGAGTTGAATGTGGCTCTAAGACGTCATAAAGCTTTTAAAGATCGTATTCAAAAGAAGCTATTATTGGTATCAAAAGAACGTGATTGTTATAAACAATTGCTGGAGAATTTCGAGAAAGATCTTACTATATCCAATTCGGGCGTAGGAGATCCTGGCTCCACCGAGACGCAATTAAGATGTCGTGTGGAAATGCTGGAGAAGACCTTAATGGGTTACAAAGATATGTGCAACAACCTGGAGAAAGAACTACACATAAATAAAAATTTAAAAGCCAGCGAAGCAAGTGGGGAGAGCATCATTCCTAACGTCGAAGCTACAATAGGTTACGAGCACTTCAAGAAGGAACTGGACACTTTGCGTGTGGAGAATGAACGTTTAAGAAGACGAAAGGAGGAACTAGAGCTAGAATTAGAGCGTCATTGCTTGAAGAGTGACCTCAATACCGAGAAATATAAAGTTGTTCACATGTCTATCAACCCAGCAAACGAAGCCTATCAAAATGCTGAGAATTTGATGGAAAAATTGCAGGCAGAGGTAAGTAGGCAAAATTAAGAACATCAATTTATCTGAAACTTTTGTTGCCGTTTACGATTTCGTAATTAAGGTATTGAATACTACAAAGTCTATAGACATGCTTGAAGGTACATTAAGTAACCCTTTCAAATTGTATGCAATGCTACAGCATTGGCTTGCATCTTTATATGAGAGCAGAATGTAGTTTTGGTAGTTTTACGTAATACATGCTTTAGTAACTGGTAAGATAATTGGGTTGCACTTTTGTGCCAAAAATTGTCTTCCTGAAGACAAGATTTTGGAAGATATGCGTTCAGGGCATAAGAGGGGAGAGAGGAAGTACTGAACTACAAATGTTATGGCTGATTTCTCCTATGCCGTGAATAATAATTTATTGTTAACAACGCCAAGTTCTTCCTTTGGTTTACGTTTGACGACGGTCAAGTTCGTTACGTATTATTTGCTTATTCGGTATCAGCGTGTGAAGGTCGCCTTTTCTTTATGGGATTAGAGCAGCTCAATTTGCTCTATTTTCGGGCCCATTTTGTTCCTTATCAATGAGTCAAACTACATGGCAATCTTTATTGTGCCTCAACGCTTAAGCTACACTTGGCTGTCAATAACTGTGCCAGATATGTTTTCAATAAACGCAAATACGCTAGAACATCGCGCTTTTCACCATGGACTTAAAATGCTGTTCTTTCATTGTTCTTTCGCTTCTTAATAGGGGCTATTTGATCTTTATTTACAAGCTCATTTATATCTGTACGCCTATGTATGTGCGTACCTATTTGAGAAAATTCGGTTCGTTGATCCAATTTTAACGATGCAACCAGACGCAAACCTTTTAAA